GAGCCCTTACGATCAAGGCCTTCCAATTTTTCTACCTCTAGGTTTGCTCTGCTCCCCTCCCCTCCAACTAATCATAATATAAGGGTGTGTTTGGTTAGAAGTTTTAGAAGGAGAGGGGAGTCCCAACCCTACAGCCTCCCCTCTAATATGAGATTTTTTAGAGGAGAGATGAGAGAAAAAATGATTAGGATTAACTTAAATATTTCTTATTTTTAAAAACTCTAAACCACCCTTGATATAAAAAGAATTATGCCTTATCTTTCTCTCTTATAATAAAATAAATTTTATCACCTTGCCAAATTTAATATATAATTTTTTGATGTATAAAATTTTAATATTTTTAATTAGACACACTAATAAAATATAATTTATTATAATATAAGTTTTAATAATAAATCAAAGCAAAAAATAAAAATCAACTTAAATTTGATAAGAATAAAATTGTTAACATATTTTTTATTCCCTTTCTAAATCAAAGAAACGTTTATAAAATCCTTTCCCTCCCCTTCCATTTCCTCTCTCTGAACTAAACACAACTTAAAGGAGATTACAAAGTTTGGACGTTACTTAGGGCCTATTTACAATATAGCTTCTGTTTTCATTTTTTGTTTTTAAAAACTATTTACAATATAGTGTTTAAAACTGTTTTTAAAAAAAACTAAAAAAAAATCTGTTGAGTTGTGTTAATTTAAAAATCAGTTTTATAATTAAGAATCAGCCAATAGTGATAGTTGCTAGTGGTTAATAGTAGTAACTTATGATAGTAATTGGTCAAGGTGTCTCTATTTTTCACTAATTAAATGTAATGTATTTTGAAAATAAAAAATAAAATGAAAATATTTTTAAAATGTTTCTATTTTTATTTTTAAAAATTAAAAATGAGAATTTTTTTAAAACAATTAAATTGAAAACACTTATGTCTTTAATTTTATTTTGTTTTTAAAATAGAAAAATATTTTTAAAAAACAGAAACCAAACAAGCCCTTAATTGCTTTTATTATTTTTGTGCCTTTTCTTTTGTTTTTCTATTATAAAAAAAATTATAAATAGATCAAACTAAAACGACTGGGAATACAAAAAATAAAATCATAGGAGTTAAAAATAAAATGCAATCAAAGTACATATACAGACATAATTACTCATTAATAGCAACTAAACATTTTTGTAAAATAAAGACACGGCTTAAGACTGAAGAAAAAGTTGAATATTTGCTATCATTTTTACATGCATTGAATAAGATGAGTTAATCATTTTAATTAGTTTTGCCGTTTCGTTTATACTAATCAAGCATTTTTGAAGTAAAACTACGAAGTAATATAACATACTTTAAAAGTCATAGTTACTATGGATTTAACTTTGATGTAGGCATATATTAAGACTTGTTAGTCGTCTCATTGGAACCAAAATAAAAGATCTTATTCTCATGAAATAATGACAAATCTATAGACTTCAAAAAGTTGTAGAGTTGCTATCTATCAATTTCAGGTTCCTTGTTGGACATGCAATGAACTCTTGAATTAGTAATCAAGACTATTCTACATGATAAAGACTATGCATAAAATTTGAAAAATCATTTCATCTTCGACTTTGGATGTGCGTTTACAATTGTCAATGGTAAAGTTTTATTTGGACTAATTAAGCCAAACTATCATTTTCTGAAATGAAGGCAAACTTTATAGCGTTCAAAAAGCTGAAGAGTCACTATCATTTTTATGTGCAATATTGTATAGGGTATGCATTGAAGATTTAATTAGTAGTCCAATTTTATTTGGATTTATTAAGCATATTATTCCAAGTAATCTAGCGTCAAAGTAGGAGACACATTACTAGTGATAGAGTTTCACTTGGGCTAAGAAATAATTGCTAAATTTCTTGACCAAGTATTAAAGACCAAGTCTCACCAACAACCGGAAAAAAAAAAAAAAAGAATTGTCTTTATTAGTGCCTTTAGTCCTTGACCAATCTGGAGCTTCCAGCGCATGTAAGGAGTGTACAATGATGGATCCAGAAATTGACATATGCCTGGAGCCAAAATTAATTTTTACATGCTTTACAAATAAAAACTAACGTATTTTCAAAGAAAATTTTTAAAGCGGAAGGAGCACCGCTACAGGACTGAACTTTAGTGCTCATCGAGTATGGTGAGATCTGGAATATTCAAATTGTGTGATCTCTCAATAGTTCAAATTTAAAATATTATTTATTTTATATTTATTAAAATAAAAATTATAAAATAAATTCAATTAATTTTTAATTTAATATAAATTTAATTTGTAAGGTCTAATTTAATATTAAAATTTTTATAAATACTATATATTAACTATCTAAATGTACTCTGCACATTATAAAATTTTTAATATTAAATTAAACATTTCATATAAATTAATATCAAATAAAAAAATAAAAAATTATTAAATTTACCTTATATTTTTATAATTTTAACCCTTCAAGCTTGATTATTTTTAAAAAAATTATTTTTAAAATTTAAATTATTATTTAAATAAGACTTTTAATTTCAGTATTTCAGGCCCGGCTCTTACTTGTGATTCTAGAGATGAATCCCACCCCTACACGCCCCTTTTAATCTTTATCTGGTTCTAGGCGTGCTTCGCGTGGAGCCCACTTACAAAAGGGAACTTCAAATGAGTATGTCGTACTTGCGAATCCCACGCGTAAAAGGAGACAGTGGATAGTGGCATGTGAAGTCTTGTTTCGTGGCGCAGCGAACGATGGTAATAATTGGTGGTCTAGCAAAGCTTGAATTGATCGACGAGTCGATGGTGATGATGTTGGTGCGGCGGCTAATAGATTGGTTTGGACGGTGGTGAACGGTCTAATTAAGGAAATTAATTGAATGCAAGGCAGGAGATTTTCGGGCGTTGTTTGATTTTGTATTGGCAACGAAAGTGTATTAAAAACTAATTCTGATACTAAATCAATGTGAAATACGGAGGAGAAAAGAGGAAGAAAGGAATACTATTTAATTATTCAATCAATTAAAGTTTGACAGGGTAAATGATCCTAAACTTTAAATCAAGTGACACTATATACGTACGCAGACTGAAATTATTTATTATATAAATTATTTTTAATTTTAAAAATAATGTAATTTAGCTCTGTAATTAATAAAAATTAACTTTAACAGTTAGTTGATGAAAATAAAATGACCTAAAAATTACATAAAATAATAAAAAATTATAATAAAGGATTCAAAAATTATAGATATAGACCCAAAAAATTGCAGAAAATAATTTTTGTGTTCATTCTCTGAATAATTAATGATAAAAGTTAACTTTTATTAACGATAAGAACTAGCTTGCATCATTTTTAAAAAATTAAAAAAATAATTTATATAATAAATAAATTTAGAATTTATAATACTAGTAAATTAAAAATTCAAGAGATAATTTACTAATTTGCCTAAATTTAGTATAATTTAATTATAGAGAGAAACTATAGGACCCAATTAGATATAGTCTTTTCAAAGATATCTTTTACATTCACATCAACTCAAATTCAAAATTTTGCATTTAAACAGTTATAACTTTCACTAGATCAATGCATGTTAATTAATTAATTTAATTTTAAACACATCAATCAATTTATTTGTATTTTTTTATTATATAGATGCCCAGAAAGCCAGAATGATGATTCCAATTGTAGGAATTTACTTTTTTCTTGTTAAATTGCAATATATATAATCTTCTTACGGTGTATGTAATGGAAAGACTTTATTACAACTCTGATCACTCATAATTTAATTTTTTATAGTTCTTATTATATATGTATATTACTATTATAATATGAACATTTGTTTGCGTCTATTAACCCACACGCACAGGAGATGGGACTTTTCGACGCTTAACTCGCGACCTGTCTCTCGTCCCGTCTCAATTTTAATTGGAAAATTTCATGTAGGTTTCAAATAAAAAGTTAATTACTATAAAATTTATTAATAATTATAATAAAACCATTAATGTATTGAAAATGACTTTATTTTAATTATTAATAAATTTTAAAATAAGTAATTTTTTATATAAGATTTATTATAATTCTCCCATTTTAATTCTAGTCCCATTTGATTCCATCCTAAATTTTTGAGTCAGACTCAAAATCGATGAAGACCTAAATCCCCCCAACACACTCTCTTTTTGAATTATTCACATGTGTCTTTTTAATAAAGGTAATCACATTTGATATATAATCAAGCACTAAATAATTAATATGATATCTCTTTTAGTGAATATTCAAACTTAATTTATTATATGTATTATGAGATATTAGTTCAGTTTGCTAAATTTAACTCCTGATTCATACACACTTTCTATCTTATCTCTTTCACTTTGGATATATATGACCACACTTGGAGGTGCTTGATGAGTTTTGACCACAATAGCAATTTATAATTAATGATGCACTTACATTTATTCCTTGTTAAAATTATCATATAATTATGAAAAAAATTATCAGTCCAATTTCATAGGTTTTGTTTTTAATCTCTGCAATTTTTTTCAATGTTTTCAATCCCTATAATTTCAAAAAGATTTGGTAACATTTGTTTTTTAAGTCCTTATAGTTTTAGTTTTTTTAGTGTTTTTAATCCTTATAATTTTTTCAGTATTTTTAATCCATATAGTTTCAAAAAGATTTGGTGCCATTTATTTTTCAAGTTCCTATAATTTTAGTTTTTTTAATATTTTTAATCCCTAAAAAGATTGAAAATACTAAAAAAAAAATATAGAGACTAAAAGTAAAATTTGATGAAACTATATGGATCAAAGATTATGTTTTTCCTATGACTATATATATATATATATATATAATTTTTTTATATTGCAATTAATGGAATATATATAATTTTTATCATACATATTACTGTATACTAATTAATATAATAAACGTGTGTGTCTATAACTCCTAAAAATGTCGGAATTAAGCTAAGGGGATTATCACTATATAAATAAGTGAGGAGATCGCGATGACTGTTAGGACATCAGGTTTGAGTGGCCAAAGCCATGGGGGAAGCAAAATCAGCGAAGCCTCATGTGGTGTGTGTTCCTCTTCCATTGCAAGGCCACATCAACCCAATGCTAAGCCTAGCAAAGCTCCTCCACCTCCATGGCTGCCACGTCACCTTCGTCCTCACCCACTTTAACTTCAACCTCCTCCTCAACTCCAGAGGTCCCGATACCGTTAAGGGCGTTCCCGGCTTCCAGTTCGAGGCCATCTCGGACGGGTTGCCGCCGGAGAACAAACGGTCGATTCTTGACCTGCCGGCGCTGTGCAGGTCGATGCCTGTACAAGGGTTGCGTTCGTTCAGGGAGCTGATAGACAAGCTGCAGCATCAGCAGTGTGGTTCGCCGGACGTGCCTCCGGTGAGCAGCATAGTTTGCGATGGGGTGGTGGGGTTTGCGATGAAAGCTGCGGAGGAGTTCGGTATACCTGAATTCGTGCTGTTCACTCCGAGTGGTTGTGGGATGTTGGGTTACCTTAACTTCGATGAGCTTCACAAGAGAGGGTTTTTCCCATTGAAAGGTACGAAAGTCTTCCCTCGACAAATCTGAAATATTACCTTCAACGGATTGATTATCACGCAGCAGAGAGACAAAAGTGGATGAGATCCACTGGATTCCGCCCACTATCATAAAAAAGCACCTGCCCCATTTAAATTTTAATGTGAATGATTCAAATTTTTTTAATTTTAATTTTAAAAAATAAAATTTATAAATTTCTTTGATAAATATATTCATTATCAATCTAGATAGTACTATTTTAATTTGAGACTCTAAGTGATTCAATTTAATATTATAATTTTTATAAATTGACTATTAAATATACTTTGAACAAGACAAATTCAATATTAAATTTTTTAAAATTTTTTATTTTAATAATATAAAATCAAAATAAAAACTTTAAATCTAGACCTTGTAGATAAAATTTAATATTAATTTTAGACTATTCAGAGTACATCTAGATAATTAATTTATAAAAATTATAACATTAAATTAAACTATCCAAATTTAATTAATACTGTTCAGATTGATGATGGATATATTTAAATTAATGATAAAAATATTTATCAAAAAAATTTATAAATTTTATTTTTATAAAATTAAAATTAAAATTAAAAAAATTTAGACTTTCTAAATTAAAATCTGGATAACCCACTTTCTTATAATGAATACGGTGGTTGATTGCTGAGCACCGAAATCAGACTCGCCCACTACTCTTTGTTCACCTTTTTCTCTTTTTCCTTTTTTAAAATTTATGGCACGAAATGTTAAAAGGGTGTTATAGCAAGCTGTTAGGAAATACTTCCTCAATCTCTATATATATAAAATATTTTTAATTAAATTATATAAATTAATAAAAATTAATTATTTAATTAAAAATATAACAACATTTTAATTTTATTCATAATTATTGTCATTAAAAAATAAATATTTTTTTAAAATAAATTAATGAGAATATTTATTTTTTTAATTTAATAAGTATATAATAATTTTTAAAAAATATGCTAATAATTTTTTATATTTAAAAATAAAAGAATTATAAAAAAAATTTATATAAGAAAACGGAGGGAGTAATTCATATCCCGTACTTGTGTTGGATTTTTCTCATTGACAACGGCCTCACATGTGGTATCTTGGCAAGTTCGCTGCATAAGCTTATAAATATATTTTATATTTTTATTTCACGTGATTACATTCTTTTTGTTTAAAAATTTAAGATATTTTTAATTAAATTTATTTTTAATAAATTTCTTATTTTTAAATTAATTTTATTTTTTTATATTTAGCCTTATTTAATAAATTATTTTATTTTAAAATAAATATAAAATAATTTATTTAATAGAGACACTTAAAAAAATAATGATTACTTATTTAAAAATTTAAAATATTTTATATTTTTAAATATTTAATTTCTTAAAAATGCCTCTAATGGATGGAATATATTTTTAAATTTGACATTTTAAAATTAATTTATTCGAAATCAGTCGAATCAAATGCTGTTTGCTGTACCAAATGATTTATTTTCACCTTGGTGTATCTTTCACTTTTTATTTCTTCTGTAAAATGGTGGGAGCACATTCAATACCCAGCACAGGTGAAGGTGCTCATCACTTCTAAAATAATTTAAAGTCTTTAAGTTAAAGCTATATGATTCAAATTTAAATATTATTTTTTTATTTTTTGAATTAAAAATTTATAAAATTTTGAATAAATTTATTAATTTCCAATATATACTATTCATATTTAATTAGATTGGTTCAAATTTAATATTAATTTTTTATAATTTTTATAAATTAACCATGCAAATTTACTCTATATTGTTTAGATTCAAAAATTTTAGCTTATTGTATTATCAAATTCAAAGCAGTTCAAAATAAATATGTATGGTTAATTTATAAAAATTGTAAAAGAAAGTAATGTTAAATTTAGACCGGCCTGATTAAATATAACTTGCATATATTAATAATTATTAGATTTATTAAATTTATAACATTTTTATTTAAAAAAATAAAAAAATATTTAAATTTAAACTGCCTAAATTAAATTTAAATAATTCAGATTATTTCAAGCGTAATGAGCTCCTGTAAAATGGTGGGGTGTACGTCTATTGCTGGCAAACTTGGCATATCACTTTACGATTTACTGAGACGGGCAGGTGATACGGCTTACCTCATTTGATAGATTAGGATGATGGGGCATTGGGGCCCATGGTCCCAACACGTGCCTGCATCGCCTCATAGACAACTGTGACACTGGCACGTAAGATTGTCGATCGGTTTCACCGTATGTAATTTCCAGTGCTACTGTTACTGCTCTTTGAAATCATCTTTACTTATTATTAACTTTTTTTTTTTTTTGAAATCATGAAATCATCTTTACTTAACTGACATCAATTTAAGAAATTAATTAAAATTATTTTAATTTTTTAAAAAAATTCTAATTACATGAAAACTGGGGCGGAACCAGATGGAAGCCGGGAGGCCAAATTTTTGAATATTAATATATAGAGTTAAAAACCTAAAATGTCCCTCAACTATATAGAAAGGATTAAGATTATTCATAAAGTTAAGAAAATGTTATTTATATCTCTCAACCATAAAGATTTTTTACTTCATTACTCTGCCATCTATTTTGTTAAATTTCATTGTTAGTGAGACTTACATTTGAATTTTTAATATTTTTAGTGGTTCCACCAATTTTTATATTGGGTTAAAGGTCTAAAATATCTGTCAATTAAGTGAAAAGAGTTAGGATTGCTCCAGGAAAGAGTCATTTATATTATTCAACTACTAAGATTTTTTTATTCCATCGCCTTGTTGTTTATTTCATCTAATTTTATGATTAGTGGGGCCCATATTTATTTTTTAATATTTTTAATGGGTTTCACTATTTTTTAACATTTTTAATTGGTCTCCTTAAGTCATACATTTGAGCAAGTCATTGTTCAAATTTGTAAAAAGTTAAACTTCACTCCACAGCTTTTTGATGGCTCCAAGCCCTTTTTTTTACCATAATTTTTAACCTTGCCCTCAAATTTGCCATTGTTAAATGATTAGAACTTTGCCAACCATTACAAGAATAAGATTTTTTGAGCTTGGCCATTCACAACAATAACAAGATTGCAATTAGCATGTTAGGTGCTTTGCTGCCGCTACTCCACTTGCTTCAATCTGAGAATGAGCGAATGAGAGAGGGAATGAAAGTAGGAGAGAGAGGAGAGAGGAAGAGTAAGGAGAGAGAGAGGGGGGAGAGAGAGGTGTGCTTTTTTAAAATTATAAAAAAATAAAATATAGGACCAACTAAAAATATTAAAAAATGCAAATGTGACCTACTAATGGTGAAAATCAACATAATAGATGGTATGCTAATGGAATAAAAAATCTTAATGGTCAATAGATATAGATGACTCTTTCTTAACTTTAAGGACAATTTTGACCATTTTTGTTTAGTTGAGAGGCATTTTAAATTTTTAATCTAAAAAATATAATAAAAAATATAAAGTAGGTAACATCATTATATTTTATTATTAAAAAATATTTAAATAATTCATGTGAGCCCCACTAATAGATAATTAATGTTAGGGCATGGAAAAAGCAAAATTTTGAGATTGATAGATAAAATTGACCTCAAGTTGAATTTAAGGTCATTTGTGAACTTTCGTATACAGTTTAAAAATAAAAATAATCTTTAACCATAATATATATATATATATATATATATAGGTTGTTTAAGGTTTTTTATACTATAATAAATTTTTAAAATTAAAAAAAATTAATGAATAAGTTACATGTAATTATATAGTATTTATTTTTTTTAAGAAGTGTGAAAAATCAGATTATGCATAGATTATATTAAATATAAGAAAAAAACATAAATAATAGGTTAATTTTTTTAGAAGTGCGAAAAATCAGATTATTCATACATTATATTAAATATAAGAAAAAAAATAAATAATAGGATTAAAGGGAAAAAATACTTGTGAACTTTTTATTAGGAGCACCAAGTATTCTTAAGTAAAGGATGGTACAAAAGTGCCTATAATATTGATGGAGTGGGAGCAAAAATGCCCAAATTGTTAAATTTGACTAATGTACACCTTTGTACCCACTTCATCAACACTTCGAATACTTTTGCACTACTCTTCATTGAATGATATTGGGTGCCTTTGAAAAAATAAATTTTATAGATATTTTTGTTCTTTAACCCTAAATAATATGAAAAACTTCATATTTTTAATACATGTTCATATATACATATATGTAATTGTATAGTGATTGCTAGAACATATATCTTCAAATTTTTTTGAAAAAAAATTAAATTAATATATATATATATATATATATGATGTAGGTTTTTATAAAGAAGTAAACTGCTCAACTTTTGTAATAATTGGTATGAGTTCTTCCAAATATCTTATTTGAAAGAAAGGACTAACATGTGCTAAATTTACACAACTGGTTTCTCCCTCCTGCACTCGTATAATCATATTTACATATAAACAGTTTTTTTTTTAAATTACTTTAGCTTTATTTTTTTAATCAAACTTACCTGTCCATACAATACAAGTGTAAGTGGGAGGGAGAAACCGTCCCAACATAAACGGATAGTGATAGCTGTCACTCTTCTTGTTTTTTTTTTTTTTTTTGGTGGACTATCATTCTTTTTTTAGAAAGTGAATAAATACGTACTATTAACAAGAAAACAAATACACTTTGATAAATTACAGAATTACATAATATTTAAATACAATTCAAATCGCGATAAAAATGTAGAATTATTTGACCCACAAAAAAAAGAGTATTATATATACATGGAGAGAGAGAGAGAGAGAGAGGACCACTTAATATATTTTGGCATTTTATCTGAAATTATTAAGTTTCAACCCCAATTAATTGTTTGGATGGTAGATGAGAAGAATCTACACGATGGCTATCTGGACACAGAAATAGATTGGATTCCAGCCATGAGAGGAATCAGACTGAGAGAGATTCCCACATTCTTCAGAACTACTGATCCTTCTGATACAATGTTCAACTACAACAGAGACAGTGTGGCCAACGCCGTTAAAGCCAACGGCGTCATCCTCAACACCTTCCAAGCCCTTGAATCAGATACCCTAGACGCCATCAGATCCACCTACCCCCATCTCTACCCCATCGGCCCCTTACCACTGCTCCTTCGCAACCACGACGACAACGACTCCACGATCGACTTGAACCTGTGGAACTCAGAATCCAAGTGCTTACAGTGGCTAGACTCGAGAGAGAAACAATCAGTGGTTTACGTCAACTTCGGAAGCTTGGTCACCATGAACACTAATCAACTTCGAGAGTTTGCATGGGGATTCGCTAACAGTAACTACAGTTTCTTATGGGTGATTCGACCTAATCTCGTGGAAGGAAGTAAAGAAGTGTTATCAGAAGAAGAGTTGAAGAAGAAAGCTGAAGGAAGATTCATGATCGTGGGATGGTGTCCACAAGAGAAAGTGCTGGGCCACGGGTCAGTGGGAGGGTTTCTGAGTCACTGTGGGTGGAACTCGATGTTGGAGAGTATCAGTGAAGGTGTGCCTCTGGTGTGTTGGCCGTTCTTCGCAGAGCAGCAGATGAACTGTTTCTATGCTTGCAAGAGGTGGGGGATAGGGCTGGAGATGGAGGAGGGTGTGGTTAAGAGAGAGAAAGTTGAGAGGCTTGTCAGAGAGCTTATGGAGGGAGAGAGAGGGAAGAAGATGAGAGAGAAAGCTTTGGAGTGGAAACTCAGAGCTCAGGCTGCTACTTTACCCGGTGGTTCTTCTTACAATAGTTTTATCACTTTGGTTGAGAAATTCAAAAAGGGTGTTGTTAAGCCACTTTGACGTATCTCATGTATGAGGGAAAGCATGTTAATTAATCTAGTTTCTTCGATTAGATTTAGATGTAATTTTCTTTTTTTACATACATGTTTTTGTTTTATTAGAGTCAATTCTATTTGTAAACACAGTCCGACAGTTAATTGGACACCTTTCTTAAAAGTCGAACATTGGTCATCAAATGGTAAAAGATCATTAGTCCCTTCTTATTGGTGGATGAAATTTTTATTATATTTACATTATTATTCTTATTATTATTATTATTATATTAATCTCCATTTCAGTTAATATTTTTTTATCAGTTGTTAGAAAAATTAACGCATGCAATGGCAAATTCAAAAGGATAAATTAGAGGGTTCAGGGGTAGTGTTTGCCTGTTTGCGGCCATGCATGATTCAATTTTAGTCGGTTTGATTAATGGAACCAAACTAGTTCAAAACAACATTCTATTCTTTATCTTTTCCTGTATTCAAATCAGAACATTCTAACATAAAATCAGATTCAAACTCAAAGAAGAAAAAGATTCAAACTCGAATCATTAAGTGAAGAATGTCTTTTTTTTTCTTAAAGAAAAATCAATACCAAATTTGAAAAACCCCTTCAAACGCGCGGTTTTAACATAATCTTCCCCCCATATCACATGAAGGTTTTCTCTTTTTTTTGTCCACAATTTTATTGAAAATTTATTCCTCATTTCAAAGAGAGCTAAACACGGATGGGTACAGGCCACTTGTGACCTTATCAATCACCCGCCCCTTTTTGGCTGAATGGGTAGCCACTTGCCCGTACTTGCATGAATCCATTTTCATCCATTTTAAAACAAGTGGAAATGGGTTTGGGTGGGTCTGGGCAATTCATTTAGCCTACTACACTTGTTTTTTTAGTTTAAAAAATTATAGAAACATGTGTTTTTCATCGCATTTCAATTTTAACATAAGTAGTCTCATTCTAAAAGTTTAAACCTGTTAATAAAAGATCAATAATTTAATAATAAATAACTAGAAGGATCGATAATTCCAATTCCCAAATAGTCATTCATAATTTTAGTGCATTAAACTTATCATTTAATATTCCTCACATCACATCACATCCCATAAGGCCACCACAAATCTAGAAATTCAAAAAGCATCATAACTCCATAAGTAACATCATTCTAAAAGTTTAAACACCAAATATATACAACTTCAAACAAGTCGTAAATTGAAACTGTATTACAAGTAAAGTTACGAAACACAATAAAATTTAAACATAAAAAAGCACCCACACAACATAACACAAACATAGAAGATCAAGTGAGGAATTAGGAATGTTTGTCAATATTTTTTGGATCTCCATTAGTCATTAATCTTTATCTTCATCACTTGATATGGCAGAAGATTGAGCTATTGACTCTTCTTCTACAAAATAAATTAAAACAGTTAGATAAATAAGCAATAATATATATATATATATATATTATAATATGGGGAAAATGTGAAGGAGAATACAAATCAAATAGGTTATTTAAAATTCAAATTACCATTAATGGCATGAAAAATCTCATCAAAATAATCAACATCAATCTCTTCTAGTAGGGTGCATGATGTTGATGATAGCTAATTTTGGGTGCAAATGAGTGCCTTGGTCATTTTTGAAGATAAGGAACTTTTGAAAGTATCTATCACCTAACCCCTAATACTAAAAGCAGATTCTAAAGACACTGTAGAGACATGTAGAGTTAACAAATCACATACAATTAAACTCAAAACTTTATACTTGAAAGAATTCACTTTCTACCATGCCAAAATGTTAAACTTATCATTATAGAACTAACTTTTTGCATTTACATATTTTTCTACCTTTGAAATTGGTTTCTTTGGATGCTTATACTCATTGCAGTGGCTAAGTATCTTGCACTGCCACATCAATAATTCTTTTTAGAAGGTAGAGGAACTTGACCTGCCCTACCTCTATAACAGTTTAGATGGTTTACTACCACTAACTGCAATTACTACTGAGTACCTATTAACTAAGCAATACAAGAGCCTTGTAATCTTCTTTTATGTCAATTCTCTCTTTGTGCAATCGCCAATAAAATGTTTAAAAGCACCTTCAACATATGAAAATATGTATTTAGGATCAAGAATCACCACTATCACCAATAATAGACTGATGTTTTTTGGCTTTTCCTAACACTTATAATACTTACTTTGCATCTTTTCTACTATGTCACTCAACAAAGAATTGGATTTTACTGTAATTGAATCTAGCCGTAACTTGATTGCAAATATATTCTAAAAGCATGTGTTTGATGTGATAGAATTTGATCTAAAAAATTGAAGGGTTATAATATAGAACTGTAATGACCTTAAATTTTAAATTGAACAAAATTTTTTCTCTTAATGAATATTCTATTTAAATAATTTTATAGCAAAGTAGAAATGGATAGTTTATAAGAATTTATGTTAGAAATTTTTTTAAGAATCCAGCATCCAAATATTTTTGAGCAAAAGTTCAGTTTTAAAATTTTAGAAAAATCTCGTGTTCTTTCTTATAATTTTTTTGTGCCTTTTCTTGTGATTTTCTCGTGCTTTTTTTTGCAATTTTTTCCAATCCTTCTTTTGATCAGAAACTATTTCTTTCATGTGAAGAAAACAGAGCATCTCATTTCCTTTCCTTTACCGCCATTGTACACTTCTCTAGACCTTCATAGTCGGTTCATCTCTGACTCTTATCAACGTCTGTAGCTCACTGTCAATTGGGTGTCTATTTTCACTGTTGTTGCTTCGTCCGTTGTCATTGTTCTCATTCACGTTCGCCAGCCACAGTGAGTTGGGTTGCTGATTCTCTTTCACTGTCATCGTGCTATTCTTTGTCGACAAGAGGTTGCCATCGGGTCGCTATCTTTGCTGCTACCTACTTCCTCTTCTCTGTCTCGGTTCGTCTTTGTGAGATGGAGAGGTTGAATATCTTCCTTACTTTTATTGCTCTGTTTTGTGGTGAATGGAGGTGCATATACGAGTGGTCAGTTTTTCTCCTTTCTTCCTTCCCTACTGTCGAAGTCCTGTGTGTGTTATGTGGTAGCTGATGCTTTTATTGTTGGCTGAAATTACAATCTCTTCCTTTTTGTGTGTATGACAGATTGGAACCCTTATCTTCTTCTTCGACGTTGTTCAGTGGCTAATTTATGTTTGTTGCCACTGAGCTTTGTTGAGGTAAGATGTTGTTTTCTTTCTTTCCTCTTCAGATTATACAGCCCCACCGAATCATAGCCTTCTTTCTCCAGCTGATCGATGTAATCCCTGTTTATCATTGTTGTTGAGACATTTTTTTTAGTTAGGATTAAAGTGATGTTTTGGGTCATGCTGGAAATTTTTTATGGTGATGTTGAGCTGAAAATTTGGTGAAGAAACCAAATGTTGGAAGTTATTGATTTTGCTTGGATGCTTGCCACATAATTTAAATAATTGTAAATGTTCTTATATAATGCTTGTAGGAATGATTGAAAAAAGAAATTGGTGAAAATAAGATAGTTAATTTTAATAGTAGAGCGTAGAGGAATTATATAAGCAAATTTAGGAAATATATGTCTTCATACAAAGAGTAATTTGATCTACCTATTGGAATTATACAACACCTAGAGGAAAATTATTAGACAAAAGAGTAATTATTAAGATTTTGTTAAGTTTGAAATAAAGGTTATGTCAATGGTAGAAATGGAATGCTACCAAGTATTTTGAGCTACTTGATAGAAGTTATTGGTGGGTTCAATTAATTTTTAATGGGTTAATGAGGCATATAAAGGGTTATTGAAGAGCTTAAATATTAATTTAACTTTATTGTTAAAGAAAGAAAAAAATTTATAATGACACAAGAATTGTTGGGTTATGTGATAGATTAATTTGGGGGCATCATCAGAGTAAGCAAGAAATTGAGGGAACCTGAATATAAGGTTTTTTAAAATTTTTAGGTGAGTGGGTAGCGTTTTAAATTAATTTTTGGTAGAATGTTTATAAAATCCCTTTATTTAAATTTTACTATTATTTGTTATAAATTGCAAAAACATTCATGTAAATCTTTTTTTATAATTGTTTTATTTATGAATATGTGTTAATTTTATTAAGGATTTATATTATTGATAAGTAATGATTGAAGAATATATACAATAACTGGTATTATTTTTCATAAGCGGCTTAATTATTTAATTCTACATTGAAATAAAATGCAATGATTCATGTATGGAGAAAATGATAAATTATTTAGGTAATGGAAAAATAATAGTTGGATAGTATTCGCTAGTGAAGATTTTGAAGTTATTTTTCTTACTCCATATATGCTTGATTTTAATGAGGGAGATTGAGTTCAAAACACTGAATGCCAACGGTAGTTCCGTTAGTCATTGGCGCTCCATGATACACCTAACTAACAGGGTGTTTGTAGAAGATGCTAGCCCCATGCGTAAGCTAATACATGTAAAACAAAGGGATGGTTATTTGTGGGTATCATATTCATGGTTGTTTTCATAAGCTTTATGCTTGCGCTTGTTTCATGGCTTTCGGCCATGTTTGACTAGTTGCTTACCCTTGTGGACTGTATATCCATGCTTGATTAATTATTTACCCTTGTGTACTGTGTATCCACACTTGTTATTCATTCTGATAAAGCCCTTTTAAATTTTAAATTAAAATTTATCATTTCTCTAGTAATTCTCTAAAAGTACTTTATCAAACTACACTATTATTGAAAATCTTATATTTTATGAGCAGTAAAGATTTTTTATACATATATATTTGATTATATTGGCATTGTTTAATTTCACGATCATATTATTGAGAAAAATCATTAATTATTTCCAGCTTAAAGATATAATTCATTATTTCCTTAAGTCATTTAAAGTTAAATTTATTATTTATTATCTTTATATTTTTTTATTATAATTTTGATTGGAATGCTACTTACTAAAAATTTCTTTAATATCAAATATTGTACTTGACCTGCTCTTCCTATGGATTGTTGAGGAACCCTATTACTTTTTGGAAAGAGGAAGCATATGGTAATTATTCTTTTTAGTGAAGCCTTCTACTATATTTTATAAATTATAAGTTAGTGCTCCATGTATACCATAGTTAGGCCCTAGTCTATCTTGTTATTATGTAAACTGTTGAAATAGAGCTAGTCTCCTTGCTAGTCTTGTTGATAGGTTTTGTTGTGGGAGATTTTGGGAGGTCCAAATTA